TTCATAATAGGAAACTTTTGTAAACTGAAAATCTGAAATTTGGGAGTGATTATCATAGCCTTTTGAAACCTTTCCATGTTTTTAAAAGAAATATTAACTTTATGATAACATTTGGGTTTATCAAAACCCAAATCGAACAATAATTTATCACGAAATTATGGGGTTTTTAGGGTTCTTCGTTTATCCAAAAAAAATCGGCCAATCTCTTCCTTTCTCTCTTATTTATCCACGAAATTGATCGATTATGGTTCTTTTTCAATATATTGAAGCTATCTATAAAAGCCCTATGTTGATTCTCGTATTTATTCAATTTAATCACCTTAAATTTAAGGTTTAGGGTTATACACACCATTTTTCTTTTTTCCTGCTTATTTCTACACCAAATCAGAAGATTTTTTGTTTGTTTTAAAGCTTTTGAAATCAACTTCTAGAGCTCTATACAGATCAGTGGTTTTTTTTCACCATTATGGACTGATTTAGTGCATCAAAGAGATAACATCGTTACTTTGTGAAAAAATCGCCAATTCTATTATTTCTCTCTAATCACTCCATAATTTTTTTATGGTTTTTAGTTTATTATGAAGCTTTTGAAATCATCTTCAAAGCCCTATACAAATTCGTGGTTTTTTTACTCCAATATTGAATGATTTCGTGCAACATAGAGCTAACATCGATGAACAATAAAAAACTTGTAATTATGGAGGTAATATTGATTATTATTATTAATCAACAATAGTGTTTTGATTATTATTATTATTTTAAGATAATGAAATAACTTGAAAACCCCTATATTGCTTTGTGTTTTTTTGCTTCAATACCGATTGATTTATTGCATCATATAATGAACCGTGTAAAATCTAATATTTTTCTCTAATTTATCAACAATAATGTTTATTATTATTATTATTTTAATTAGAAAAATTATTAAAATTAGTCATATTTACTTAATTTCAAAAATAAATGTCACTTTTACTAGTGTGTGCATGCATTTTTGTCAATTCTGGGGTTTTTAGAATTAACAAGATGTAAGAATTGTTTTTTTATGAGTTAAGATAAAAGGAGTTCCAAAAAAAAATGTAGCGCCCCCAATCTAACTCAAGGATTCTTATAGACTCACTAGACGTAATATTTTATTTTAAAGAGAGTTATGGAAAAAAGAGCTCCAAAATAAATCCGCCATTAATAAATATAGAGTTAGAAAATATATTTTTTAAGAGAGTTATGGAAAAAAGAATTCTAAAATAAAGCCAAGACATTAATAAAAATAGAGTTAAAACACAAATGCAAGCCATTAAGAAATATAGAGTAAAAAACATATTTTTTAAAAAATTTATGGAAAAAAAAAACTCCCAAATAAATCCATCCACTGAGAAAAATAGAAATGGAACTTCACAACCCATTTGGAGGTAATGACCACAAGTATTAACCCGTAATGTTTATTTGCTCAGGGGATTGGATCCCACGTCCTGATGGGGTACACGACTTGCGCAGGCATACTACCACAATGGAAGCTGCCCCTCATTATATATAACTAAATTTTGTATGTTGTTTTTTGTTTAAAAAAAAAAGGACCTTGACTCGGCCGAGTACATCATCTTGGCCAGGCCCGAGTATCTTGGCCGAGTCGATATTTTGAACTTTGTTTTGGACTATGAAGTAATTTTTTTGCTAAATATATAAATTTTTTTGCTAAATAAATTATATCTTGTCTCATAAAAATTAAATCGACAATGCAATTCCCAAGAAGTTGGAGTGGCTAGAGTGATCACTACATAGATTTGAAGTCACCTAAGTCATCAACTTATAAACACCAATTATACTAGAAGTTCATATTATTAGATATATTACTTTAGTGAAGAAAACCATTAAATAGGTATAATTACAAATAAACTAATATAGTTGGGGGAAGTGTGCTATACTCCCATGGTGTATACTGTGGACTAAATTGGCATTGACAGTCCATTGCTCTGAAACTATGTAGATATCGGAGGGCGGACCCACTATAGTAAATTTCCACCACCGAGCATCACTAATGGATGGTAGGTGCCTGCCTCTTCCATGTACTACAAACTACACTGTATATGTTATCGTTTCCATTTATACGTATTTTTGCTACACATTAGATCTTGAGCTGTAATTTCATAGTTTGAATTTTGAAATAGTATTCCAATTTTTGGGTCATTTTTTCTTAATGTTTTGAATGAATGGTGCCTTGGATGTGTACAATAAACTATTATATACTGCCCAGCATAACCACTGAACTCCAATTTGGTATTGAAATAAAAGGAAAGAAAAAGAAGTTCTCATTCCATAATCATCAAATGCTAGTTTCCATTTCAAAACATGATGTACTGATTAAAGAGGTAGAACTAGTGCCACAACAATCTCTATGTCCGCTTACTCGATTCGGGCCGTTCTCTCTTCCTAACCAAATGAAAAAAGAATAAAAAGAAAAGCTCTTTTTCCCATCCCAGGGAGCATAGTGATTGAAATCTCTCAGGTATCTGGTCTGCCTATTCTAGCCCTTATGGAACCACAGTAGTTAGTGTTTGGGGCCTGTTTGGGTGGGGCATATAACTTGCTGCACCAAACAGCTCTCATTACCTTTATGAATCAGCACTTTTTTGCAGTTTTGCCTCCACTGCGAATAATCAACAATATCCATAAATTTGGGGCTGATATATTTGAAATGTGGCCCCACTTTATGCGCCAAATTCGGCATAAAGTGGGGCCACATTTCAAATATAAGGCATAATGAGAATGCATTCCTTTTCTCAGCTTCACCTTTTATCTTTGATGAAAAATGTCGATTGCCCCCCACAACCAATCGGAGAGGAAGTATCGTCTCCCTTCCCTAGTACTCGAGTGTAAATCAAACAGTGCTCCTCAAGCTGCTCTACAATTAGGGAACCTCTGTTTCATCCTCTGTTAAACAACATGACTCAGTACCATTGGATTTTCTCCACCTTTACGTGGTGCCTCATCACAAAAGAAAAACAGTTCAGTGGGGATACTCAGGAAGCTGTTAGAAAATTTCGAACAATTAAAGAGTACCTGACAAAGTCGATGATAATAAAATTTTGTAAATTAATAAACATGGTCTCAACTCTCAAGCATTCCGAATTGGCAATAGGACTAGGAAAAGAGGAGTGCATAAGTCAAGAATGAACTGAGAAATGTCGATGATGACAAACTTCTGACAAAGTCGATGATAATAAAATTTTATAAATTAATAAACACGGTCTCAACTCTCAAGCATTCCGAATTGGCAATAGGACTAGGAAAAGAGGAGTGCATAAGTCAAGAATGAACTGAGAAATGTTGATGATGACAAACTTAAGTTTCATGAGACCTATAGATTATTTGAGTTTAGTTGCCATTGTCTAAGAAATTGTGTATGAACTGAAACCTTCACAGGACAAAGATGTGAATTAGAGCTTGATTTTTATCAAGTTATAGACTAAATAAGCCCAAACAAAGAGACATGCTTGATATATTAGGATTATCTGAATATTACAAAAGGTCCATCTAAACATGGCCAAGTTGATTTTGTTAGTGTTTTGTGGTTCAAAACACTTGTGGTGATAGTAAATGGTAAAAGCATATAAAAAAGACTATTTATTTTTAGTATAAAGAGATCACAGTCACATTTTTCTATCATGTTTTAAATTGGGAGGTTGTAACTATGTCATTGACCAAACTCAACATTAAAAAGAAAAATTCTCAAACTTCGTGACACACCCCAAGCCATCTACTTTAGCATCTAATGGCTAGGAGCGATTATGATCTCCTTATAATTAAGATAAATGGCCTCATCATTTATAATCTCATATTAAATTTGTTAGTGACAAATTTATTTTAAAATTATTATTATCATTAAAAAAATTATCAAGGTTATCCTTAAGCAAAGGATAAATATGTCATTTGAAACTAGTTTTCGGCATTCGATGTCAAACAACTATGTCATATTTTAATTTGTATTAGGTACTTGCTCAGCCCTGGGTTGACCTATGGATGGCATGGGAACAATGCTTGTGCACCTCTATGTATGCCAATGAGAGAAAGCCCACCTCCCTTAGGTCAATAGATGTTATTCATCTGAAGTTCAAACATCTATAGTGTTATTCGTGCTATATTTGATTTGAGATTCTCAAGGAAAAGCTAAATTCAATGGCTCAAATGTTTCTTTCGAAACAAATATCATTTGTAGTTTTTATTTATTTTTATTGTTTACACATTAATGATCTCCATGTTATGGATTGTATGTTTCTTTAAAAATCAGGGTCAAAATCTCTTTCAAAAATAGATTATTAAGGGGGCCGCATTTCTACATATGAGTCCGATGACTCATAGAAACTGCCCATTAGAAAAATACGAAAAAAAAAAAATCCTCGATAAAAAATAAAAAAAATTAGAACTATTTTTAAATTAAAGAAAGGGATCTGTATCATAATTTTGTTATAAGCTTTCCCAGGCTAAATGGGATTTAGCAAGCGAGGACATATACTATGTTCCTCCAGGAGCATAGTGTACTCTTACTCCCTCAATCATAAGACTTACTTGGGAGGATTTTCTCAATCTGAAATTTTGAGAAACTACTTAAAGAATTATGTGAAATTTTGAGAAACTACTTAAAGAATTATTAGATGATTATTCTTAGAAAACAATATCAAAATTTGAGCTTTAGAGTACTTAGATCTCACCATCTAATATGGAGACCTTATATTTTTAGTGCAAAGAGAGTACAATTATATATATATATATATATATTATTTTTTTTTTAATTGAGGTCGATCTATGGATTGAGGAGGTTATGTACCTAAAATTAATTCTAAGTGGGATTTTACTGGAGCGAGTAAATGGACATTGTACTCCAGCGGGAGTAGAATTATCCCTTGGCTTAGCAAAACGAAGGTTGAGGGTGTACGCGAAAATTCAAGTTTTTAGTTGGGATATAATAATATGATTACCACGCCGAGCCATTTCAAACTATCAGGACGGGGAAGGAGATCCGTTGGGCTCTCTCTTTCCTCTCTTCCTCTCTTAATGCAGGAGGTCCATTAGTCTTTTTCTCTCTCTAAAAATGCCGAAGACAAGCAGGGGGAAGTCGGGTCGGAAGCCATTATCAGATATCTCCAACTCGAGAAAGCCGTCAAAGACAGTGAATAAGGCTGTTAAAGATGACAATGCCTGTTTTGATCGCCTTGTCTCTGCCCATTCTGACCTATCCAAACTCATCAGTGAAGTAAACCCTAGATCCCCCATCTTTTTGTTTTTCTTTTCCTTCTTCTTGGATTGAAAAAATGGAAGTTTGAGAGGATTAAATTTTTCTACTTTGTACTACATTTTTCTTCGAGAACATGAAAATCTTATCTTGATGTTTGTATTATGAATTTATGATACCATGTACGGGGTCATATACTTTCAGCATAGAAATTTCAATAATAAAGTTAAGAATCTAGGTTTTATTTTGAATTCATGAAAGATTGGGTTATTCTAACATTAGGTTTACTGAGAACTGTGCAGATTGAATTATCCTTTTTGCTATTCTCTGTTCTTTCTGTTTCAATTTCCTTTATTTGAAATAAAAACTGGCTTCCATTGTACAAATTTTAGGGGTTTCTTCCTTGTATGATAGCGGGTTCTCTTTCATCGATGGAAATTAATCTTGTGAGGCTTCTGATAGACTGTTACACATTTATATAAATGGCTTGTGTGCCATTTATATTGTGATTTTTGTATGACAATCTGATATTTTTGCATGACAATTGAACTGCATTAGTGCTCTAAAGTGCATTTAGCTTTAAAGTTTAACGCATTGAAGAAATGGTTAGTGAATGCTAATAACTACAACTGTGACAACCTGATGGGATCAATGAAACTAGAAATGTAATAATCTGCGTATACATTTGATATGCTCGCGTGTGTTAGGAATGATATTTTGTTGTTCATTGTCTTCAATTTTTTCTTTTTCAATGGATGTTTGTGATTGCAAGGTTCCAACAGTTAAAAATCCAGGTTTCTCGTTTTTTCTGTTGAGTGGTTAGGCAAGGATTTGAACAATGGAACTTAATAGTGAAGCTGTTAGTTAACCAGTTTCAAAAAAAATGGTGAGGCTGTTAGAGTTCGTAATCACTAAGCCAACTGTTTTAAGTCATTTGGGAAGTCTATTGGTTTGGAGGAACCTTATGTTTTGATGCAGTGAAGAAAAAATAATAATAATAATAATAATTTTTATTATTATTAGGATTTTTTAGTTTATCTTTTAAATTAGGAGGTGCGTAGGGATAGGTGGGGATTGAGTTTGTACGTGAGTTAATATTTATGGATTGGTTGGTTAGTTTAGGAATGTAAATAGGATAAGGTTAAATTTAGGAATTTAATAGGATAAGGTTAAATATGGTTAGTTTAGGAGTATAAATAGGATAAGCTGATAAGGTTAGATCAAAGGGGGTTTATCTTTTCAACAATAGCTTTGGGTAAAATGTGGGGGTTTATCTTTTCAACAATGGGTAAAACGTGGGTGACACATGAATTTAAGAGAGAGAAGATAGGGATGAGAAAAAATAGGTTAAGGAGATAAAATAGGAAAGTCAATTATTTATTTTATTTTCTTTTTTTGGTCTATGTAAAGGGACGTTTCCCTTCATTGTAAAGAAGTAAATGAGTTAATAAAATTTGGTCTCATGAAGAGATTATTTTGGGGTGGATTCCCTTGCAGATCTTGAGAGAGGGTATATTCGATCAACCTTTATTTTATTTTTTTGGTTTTTATTCTCTCCCTACATCAATTGGTATCAGAGCAAGTCAGATCCAGAGCAAGTTAGGTCCAGAGTTTACAGTGCCACCAAAAGCGAATCAAGCTAATCCAGCTCCAGCTATGGATGATCGTTGGGGATCAATTCTAACTAAAGCCTTAGAGGATTTTCGAACTGAAGTACCTGAGATGAATCAGGAGATGAATCAGAGGACGCAACACATAGAGGATTTTCGAACTGAAGTATGTGAGATGAATCAGGAGATGAATCAAAGGATGCAACGGTTGGATCAAAGGTTGCAGCGGTTTGAGAATAATCTTCCTCGCGAAGAAGGTACTGGCAACCACATTAATCTTGCATAAGGAATTCCACGACAAAACCAGGGTGTTGATTTCGAGCGTAACGAAGATTACAGGTTAGGTCCGCGTCCTATAGAGCGACTACGAGAAGATTATAGGCCAGATTCACGTCCTATAGAACGACCACGAGATTTTGGTATTAAAGTCGACCTCCCAGAATTTCATGGTAAGCTCCACATCGAAGGCTTTATTGATTGGTTAAGTGCAATTGAAAATTATTTTGAATGGAGTGAATTGCCAGAGGAACGTAAGGTTAAACTTGTTGCTACCAAGCTCTGTGGGTATGTTGTGGCCTGGTGGGAACAAGTTCAACAATCCCGACTTCGTAGTGGAAAAAGAAAAATTACTGATTGGCAAAAGATGAAAAAGAAATTGAAAGAAAATTTTCTTCATGCGGATCATGAGCAAATTTTCTTTCAAGAACTCCAAAATCTTCAACATAATGAAAAAAAGTAGAAAATTATACCAGTTAGTTTTATCGATAGTTGCTCGAAATAACCTCCAAGAGACGGAAAGATAAAAGATTGCTCGATATGTAAATGGCCTTCAACCTGCCATTAGGGATGAGGTTTTTCTACATCGCCCATGGACTTTAAGTGAAGCTTTTCAACTTGCTTTACGAGTAGAAACGAAATACCAAGGGACTATCGACAAACGCTTTTACCCCCAGAAGGAGGTTTTACGTCAACCAAAATTTAATGAAGAAAAAAAAGATAATACAAAGTTTATGTGTTATCGATACAACGAACCAGGACATCATTCGTTTGAATGCCCAAAAAAGAAGATGGATGTACACTTGACTAAAGAATAGGAAGAAGTTCCAGAAGATCACATTCAACAAATAGACCCCCATGGTGATGAAGAAGGAGATCCGCTTTGAATCGAGCTCGAGGTCGAGCTTTTCCCAACCTCGGGAGAATGATGCAGTGAAGAAATAATAATAATAATAATTTTTATTATTATTAGGATTTTTTAGTTTATCTTTTAAATTAGGAGGTGCGCAGGGATAGGTGGGCATTGAGTTTGTACGTGAGTTGATATTTATAGATTGGGTTAGTTAGTTTAGGAATGTAAATAGGATAAGGTTAAATTTAAGAATTAAGTAGGATTAGATTAATTGTGGTTAGTTTAGGAGTATAAATAGGATAAGGTTAGATCTAAGGGGTTTATCTTTTCAATAATAGCTTTGGGAAAAACGTGGGGGTTTATCTTTTCAACAATGGGTAAAACGTGGGTGGCACGTGAATTTAAGAGAGAAAAGATAGAGATGATAGAAAATAGGTTAAGGGAGATAAAATAGGAAAGTCAGTTGTTTATCTTCTTTTCTTTTTTTTTTAGTCTATTTAAAGGGACGTTTCCCTTCATTGTAAAGAAGTGAATGAGTTAATAAAATTTGGTCTCGTCAAGAGATTATTTTGGAGTGGATTCCCTTGCAGACCTTAAGAGAGGGTATATTCTCTCAACCTTTCTTTTATTTTTCTGGTTTTTATTTTCTCCCTGCATCATGTTTGAAAATTGGTGCTGAAATATTAAAATAAATATGAGTGATTATATAGAGAGGTCAACAAGATGTCTTTGCAAATTCTAAGAGTTTGAAAGACAAAGGACTTTTCTTAGTCATTGGTCTCAGTTCATAGCAGACCTTAGCATGTGATACATTTTGTATTAGTTCGTTTGATATTTTCTCCACTTGAAGTTGTAATCTCGTATTTGTTTGTCAAACATGTTTAATCATCGTCATTCCTCTTAGCCATTGGTCTCAGTCCTTGTAGGCCATGTGATAGTTTTCTATTAGTTTGTATATTATTGTCTACCTTCGAAGTTGTAACTTCTCATTCATTTGATAAACTTGTCTGATCATCTTCATTCCTTTTAATTGTTGTCTATTGCTATGGAGAATCTCTTTTCGTCTTGTTTCCTTTAAACTGTTATATTGGGTTTGTAATTTTGTATAACCTCATAGGCAATATATTGTTTTCATGCATAGGGAGGTGCCTGTTTTTCTATTTTGTGTGTTAATAAACATTGATCAAGTGAAACATGTGCGGTGAATAAACAATCTGATGCAGCACTTAGCACAACATCCCTTTTATATTAAAATATATATGTTTTTATTATGTTATATTGGTTCAATTATTTAAATAGGGGGAGCATTTCGTAGGGCTGCAGTTTTATAAATCTGCATCCCAAATCTTGCTTCAAAATGTAGTTTTGGTGCCGGAAAACCTGCAAATAGGTCATCTCCACCTCAATGATATCTGGGAAAAATGAAATGTGTATATATATATATATATATTTGAAGCCTTAAAATGGTTCATCTTGCAACATGTTTTCTGGACTATCCAATTCAAGTCTTCATAGATTAGTAAAATATGCATCCCTTTTGGATCTTCAAATTTCACAGTTAGAAGCAGAAATAGATTTGCTAGGTATCACAAGGGTTTTTGGTGACAAAACCGTATTTTTCCCCACCTGGAGGTGGGGGTGTTTTCAAGTTGTGGTTTAATCAAATTTTGTGAAGCTGTAGCCCTATGAAAACCACCTCTTAAATATTGAGTAGAATTAGATAAAAACACCGGCCTTGTGTTGAAAATATGAGAAGCCTTTAATTGGTAATTTAGCCACCATTCTAGGTTCAGGACCTGTTTACATTGCCTTTATTTAGCAATAGTGAGCTAATAGATATTATTGTGTCCACTTTGTGACCTGCAAAGTATATTATAAAACATCAACTTTCCTAACTGCATATTCATTTGTTACTAGCTATTAGTCTTGCATTGCCAGAAAAGCGGGACACATTCAAAATAATAAAAACTTGAGATCCAACTAGGAAAAATAGAATTACAAATTGAAAATGAAATCTTTTCTAGAATATAAGAGTGATCTGGACATTTTATGTGATAGGATATTGCTATAGTCATTTAAACTTGAACCTCAATTTGGTTATTTCCAGAAACAGAAAAAAAGTTTGAATCGTTATACTTTACTGATAAAAGTCATGTGGGGAAGTATCGGGTTTCTATGTACTTCTAATTGCAAGTAATACCTAGAAGAATCATACCATCAAGCAATCAATCAGAAGTCCAGTAACATAGAATTATGGTGCATTGTACAGATTGATGCACTTGTAATGCGTGCCTACAAACTCAAACAAATGCACAAATTGGGGAACCATGAAGTGGAGTCCTTTATCAATGTCTTATCAAATGCGCATTCATCCTTGCAGGTAGTTGATCTCTCTCTCTCTCTCTCTCTCTCTCTCTCTCATGCGCGCACTATATCTCTCTTGCTTTCGCTTTTCCTTATGAATTAGTTAATGTAAGGTAAGCACTTGCATTTTCTGCAGACAATTTCCTAATTCTTTTGTATATTTATCTGCAACATTGATGGGGTTCTTTGGTTCTTGGAAAATAGCCATGGCTTCCCAGATTCCAGCAAGCATTGACAAGGCAACCATCAAAAATTGGCACTCAAGAGAACCAAACTCCACCAAAGGAAACTGTCTCTATGACAAATGAAGACAGAAGGGTTTTGGCCCAATGTCCATTGGATGTTGGTTTGGGCTCTTCTCTTTCTCCCTCTCCACTGGTCTCCTGGCAAGCTGAGTGTAAGATTGATAATGGAAGGCAACTGTTTTTGCTCACACCTTTGCCAAAATCCAAACCACCTTCAATGAAGCCCCTTGCTTCATATGTATCTCACATCAAGTGCTCTCAAGTAACTGACTGCTCTTTGACTTCCCTCAAGAGCTCCAAAGTAACAGATTCTTCTTTCTCTCCCTCCAAGAGCTCTAAAATAACCGATTCTTCGCATTGTGCTCCTGAATCGTCTCCATTATCACCTCCTGCTATCCAGGGCCAGAATGATTGTTTGCAAACAGTAAATAACAATCTTTCTAGAAATAAAAACGCTGTTTATGGAAGGAACAAAGAGGTAGATAGTTATCAGAAACTGAGCACCCCATATTATCTTGTGACCCCTTGTTTGAAAACCTCACCCCCAAAGACATGCTTGATTTTGAACCATATTCCTGAGTCTTCTCATGAAGAAAACAACATTTCATCAGGGCCTACACCAGTGCCTGTTAAATTTCTGCAATTTGATGAGTTCCCATCCATGGAAGACTCGGATGAAGAGGTTTCAAGGGGCTTGATGGCCAAGTATCCAGAGCTCTTTGGCTTTCAGGCTTTCAATAAGACAGAAAATGAGAGGAAAGAACTTGAATCTCCTGATTGGGCCATGTCTCCCCCAAAAACCTGTGTTTTGATGATGCCAGCATTTGAGAAATTATCGGTTCATGAGGGTGCTAACAACTCGGTTCGATCACATTGTGTGAAAAGTAGGTTATCAAAGTGTCAAGTTTTGGGGAGAAAAGTGGATGCCTGTGGCAGAAGCGAAAAAAGTAAGGAATTGTATAACCTTGATATCCCTTACATCCCAGCCCGATGTTTCTGAAGTTCTTTTCCTCTTTTAACTTTTTTGTAGCTGTAATGTTGTGATGCTATATCTGTAACAACCCACATACCCTGGGTGCTGAACACCTACTCTCTCATGTCTCTCTCTCTCTCTTTCTCTCTCTCTCTGAGCAAGAAGGAGAGGGTGGTAGACACTTTATGTATTTAGCAACCAGATGTGTTTAGCCCCATAGAGAGAGAGTGAGGCGGAACTTTGTTTCTCTTTGTGTTTCTTCATCTTTTGTAGGTCTCTGTCTCTTGTACTTGGGAGAGAAGCTCTCTGTCTCTCGTACTTTGGAGAGAGTGAGAAATTCTTACTATTTGTCTATCGATCATTCATCTTTTACGCGTCTCTCTCTCTCTCTCTCTCTCTCTGTGTTCCTGTTTCATCATCTTTTGTAATTCTTTGTTCTGCAGAGCTTCATATGGCAAGTCCAATGGTGATGGAATGCACTCCCATATGGAAAGGTTCTCAAGCCACACCATGCATGGGCAAGGCACCAGGTGAGCAAACGCTTAAGAGAGAACTGTGGACTAAATTTGAGGAAGTCTCTGCAAATTTACCTCGTTCCTTTGCTCCTGCCGGCTGCGACTCAACAAGAAGAGGATTCCTTCATAGACTGGAAGAAGAGATCTACTCAGAGTCTAGAGAGAAGATATAACAAGCTTTAACGTAAGACACTGATTTGTGCATATGGTTTCAAGTTCCTAAAAGAACCTCCTTTTCTCTCCCCCATAGCCCTCTCAAAATGTATACTTTCGATTCTCAAAATCAGTTGGCACCATTTTTGTCTTGAATTTGAAGCGTCTTGAATTGATATCTTCTGAAGACATTCTCAATGTGAAAATTTAATATATGACGAGGCATAATACATATTCGTGTGAAAGGGACGTCCTGAAAAAGTTGATCATTTCGAAAACGTTATGAGATTGCAACTAATTGCCACTGGTTTTGGGGCAAGAGAGATATGGGTGACCTTTGTAGTCATATTGTATGGAAGGGCAAGAGAGATGATGGGTACTATTTGTAGTCATATTTGCATGCATAGTTTTTGTATGGCATTGACACTCACAGGGTTTGGGGCAAGAGAGGCATGCCACTGGTTTTGGGGCAAGAGAGATGATGGGTACTATTTGTAGTTATGTTGTATGGACATTTGTATGGTCTTTGTATGGCGTAGTCTCTCTTTTGCACGCACACAGGAGCGCATGCATACAGACTACCTGATTTCATCAGTGCCTTATCACTTTCATACGAACCTTTTAAATTGTATATGATTGCTGCATAAAATAATGCCCCTATGAAGAAAAGGCAGGAAACTCTCAAAATCTATTTACAATCAGCTCTACCCTTTGTGCAAATCATCTTTTCTGAGTTATCCAATGTTCATTATTCTCTGGGTTATTATTCTCTCAGTACGAGCGAATGTAACCATTCTTCACTCAGAGCTCGCTGATTTCATTTGGATCGGGGAGCTAATAAGTAAACGATTGCTCTCCCGAGCACCATCTAATTGCATTCAACAAATCACCTTCCAACAAATACAGTCCTGCTAAGATATTTTTTTTGTGCAAAAATTCATTTGCAAGTCTGTGGGCCTTTTTGCCGTCGTCGTAGAAATGGACAGTCTTGTATGTAATTTTTCCTTTCCTGTATTCTCATATTGTGTTGAGTGGTAGAGGTAGAGTCAGTGTTTCAAAATCTGGATCGAGGTGGATCGTTCACCTCATAGATTCGGGGTTGGATCACTAGGTCGGCGGTCCGGATCGGTCTGAATCGAATTGGTGGTCTTGAAAAATATTTAAAATTAATAAAATAAAATCAAAATCAAAATCAAAATAGAAAGTTACGGGGTACGGATTTAAGAGAGACCTAAGAAAATATGAGTTTTTTTACAAAAAAGGAAAAAAATGTAGAGAAAGATGGATGCTACAATATTGCCACAATCTACTTCTCAATTAGTGTAACAATGTCATACTAGCCCAAGACTCACAACCAAATATATATATTTTTTAACATCAACACAACATTTCCATTCAATCAAAAAAGAGTTACAAACTACAAGATTTACAAGAAGTAAAGAAGATGAAATATTAGAAAAAATTGACTAGCAGGGAAGTGGAGTTTGCTCCTGAAATATTAGAAAAAATTGACTAGCAGGGAAGTGGAGTTTGCTCCTCCTTTGGCTAAGGTATTTGCCTCCTCATTCACGTCACGAAAGCAATAATGCAAATTGGCGTTGATAGAAGAAAGGAAAAAGT